AGTAGCCACTACCAAAATCCAAAATATTGCCAAGAGGGAATGGAGGCCCAAAATTATCACACATCTCCTTTTCTTTTAACTGGACCATGGGTCGAAAAGGAAGTTCTAAGAATTACAGAAAATATTTTGAACTGAATGAAAATTCAAATAAAATATGTGAAAATATGTGAGATGCAGCTAAAGAAGTGTTTAGAAAAAAATTTACAGCATTATGATTGCATTAGAAAAGAAAGCTCTCAAATTAATAAACTAAGCTCCTATCCTAAGAAAGTAAAAGAAAAAGAACAAAATAAAACTAAAGGAAGCAGACAGAAGAAAATAACAAAGGCAAAGTCAGTGATCAATGGAATTGAAAACCAAACACCAATAGGAAAAAAATCAATGAAAATAAAAGCTGGTTACTTGAAAATATTAATTAACCAATAAACACCTATCTAGACTGACCAAGATAAAAGAGAAGAGACCCAAATTACCAATCAGGAACGAAAGAGGGTTAATCTCTAAAGACTCTACAGCCACTGAAGGATGATAAAAGATAATGAACTCCACCCACATAATTTCAACAACATAGATGAAATACAATATTTCCTTTGAAATTATAACCTACCAAATTTACTTAAGAATATATCGATAACCTGAATAATACCACAACTCTAAAGAAATTATATTTGTAGGTTAAATTATTCCAAAAAAGAAATCTCTGTGCTCAAATGTTTTATTGGTGAATTTTACCAAAAATTTAAAGAATAATAGCATCAAGTCTCCACATTCGCTTTTAAAAAACCAAAAAGGAGGAAACACTTCCCAATTCATTTTGTAAGACCAGCATTTCCCTGATTCTAAAGCCAAAGACATTACAAAAATAGAAAACTTCAAACCAATATCCCTGATGAACAGAATATGTGAAACTTCTCAAAAAGGTATCTAATCCAAACCAATTGTTATATAAGAAAGTATAATACACCATGACCAAGTGGGTCTTATCGTAACAGTGCAAGATGGTTTAGTATTTAAAAATCAGTAGTGTAATCTATCATATGAACAGCTTAAAGAAGAAAAACTATGTAATCACATTAATTGATACCAGAAAGGTTTTTTTTAATTCAACCTTAATTCACATTAAAAAACCAACAACAACAAAACACCTCTCTCTGCTAACTGGGAATGGATGGGAGCTTCTATAACCTGATAAAGAGCCTCTGCAAAAACCTAACAGTCAACATCATAATCATGAAAGTCTGAACGTTTTCCTTGTTCCTAAAAATAAAAAGTGATTTTCACTTTCACCACTCCTTTTAATATTGTGTTGAAAGTCAGTGTTATAGCTAATAAGTTGACAAAAGTAAATATGAAGGCATGCAGATTGGAAAGAAATCAAACTGTCTCTAGTAGTCTCAGATAATTTGATTATCCACATAGAAAATGTAGAAAATCCATAAGAATGCACAGAACAGCTCTAGAAAAACAAATGAGTTTAGCAAGTTTGCAGGATACAAGGTGAACCCCTAAATGTCAATCATATTTCTATTTACTGGCAAACAAAAAATAAAAATGAGACTTAAAAACCACCACAATTGATCAAAAGAATAAAAATACTTCCTTATAAATCCAGCAAAATATGTACAGTTTCTCTGTACCAAAGAAATACAAAATGCTGAGGAAAGAAATCAAAGAAGACTTAAAAATATCAGGGGCTGCTCAACTGCCTCACTGAGGGTACAGCGGAGGATGAAAGAATAATAATACAGACAAAGAGAAACTGTTTTTAAATTGTTTTTATGGGGGCCAGGACCTGATCTTAGTTCTTGGCTAAGACCAAGAGCTCTAGACCTGTCAGTATTTATTGATCCCACAATGCATCGGGGGTGTAAAGGCAGATGTAAGGATCAGTGAGACTAAGGCACTAATGAGCCAGGCTTGTAAAAGGGGAGGAACAATGCATTTCTGGGAAGGACAGGTCATAGTTAAGGAGCCCCCGTGTCATCTTTAGCTACCTTTTGGTCTGGGAGAATGGCTGCACAGAGTCATAAGTCCCCAGCTGCAGTGTCATCTTACTATCAGAGAAGTCACAATCTCATTGATTATTAAAATCTCAGTTGTGACCACTGGAATAAGAAGATCTGTTTCTGTATGCCAGCTGAAGGCTCATCTAGCAAGTTATACATAGGCCTAGGACAGACTCACAATTTAATCAATAGCCAAATTATAAGCCAATTCAATAATATTTTATAGCCTGCTTAGCACAGTTTCAAGCTGATCTCCTGCACTTATTAAAATAAATGAAAAAATATAAATGCATGGATTGGAAGACTCAACATAATAAAAAAACTAATTTTTGCCTTATTGATCTATAGATTTAATGCAATAACAAGCAAATGGCAGAGCCCATTTTGATGCTACAGACAAGCTGATTCTAAACTTTATACCAAGAGGCAAAGGAACAATTTTGAGAGGCCCAAACGATTTTGAAAAAGAATAAAATTGGAGAAGAAACACTACTTATATTTTTTATTTATTTATTTATTTTTAGACAGTGTCTTGCTATGTAGTTCAGGCTGTCTTCACACTCGCTATACAGCCCAGGCTGGTCTCAAACTTGTGGTGATTCTCCTGCTTCAGCCTCCCAAGTGCCAGGATTACAAGCATGCGTCACCATGCCTGGCCACTTACTTTTATTTTAAACCAAAAATAATCAGCAATACAGCAGGGGGTTGCCAAAGAGATAGACACACAGATCAGTGGAATAAAATATAGGTTTTAGAAATGCACACAATTATGAACAATTGATTTTTGATGCAACTTTTCAAGCTTTGAATACAGAGAAAGGATAATAGTGGCGACAAATGGTTTTTGAATAATTAGACATCCATATTGAAAAGTATGAGCCTTGATGTTAGCTTCATATCTAATACAAAATTTAACTCAAAATGTATCTTAGATATAAATTTAAAACAGAGCTATAAACTTGTAGACCAAAATAAGGCCTGTATTTAGCCAGAGTTCTTATACATAGCACAGCAATATGATCATAAAAGCAAAAAATAACAAATTGGACTTCATCAAAATGTAGAACTTTCATTCTGTGAAAAAGTATTATTAAGAGAATAAAAAGATTAGCCTCAGACTGGGGAAATATATTAGCAAATCATATATCTGACAAATGATGTATACACAGAAAATACCAAGAACTCTCAAAACTCAACGGTAAGAAAACAGCTTAGAAAAACAGAAAAGAACCAAAAGGGATACAGATGGTATCTCATTAGCCACTACAGAAATGCCAATTTAAACCATGATGAGAGACCAATGTACATCTGTTTGAATGGCTAAAATAATAATACAAACACACCAACAAGACCAACTGTAAGTTTTTTCCTTAGGCCATCAAGGCCTTGTATCAGTTGGTTCTTCCTACTGCTGTGCCTTCATTAGCTTTCCATCGTGGTGACAAAAGACCTGACACAGCAATTTAACAGAAGTAAAGATTTGTTTTGGTTTACAGTTTCAGTTCATGGTGGCAAGCAGGGCTTGTGGTGACACAGTCCACACGGCAGTACTGTGTGGCAGAGGAGGCCTGGTGGAAGCAGAGAAGCAAGAAGAGAAAGGCAGGAAGGGGCCAGAGTCCGATGTCGCTTTCAAAGACCTCCAGAAACCTATTTTCTCTCCACCAGGCCCTACGCACCAAAGGTTCCTACTGCCCCTAGGCACCAGCGGGTGGGATTGAGCCTTCTGCAGGAGGCCTGTGGTGCACATTCACCTTACACAGCATAACCCTCCAACAATCTTTTTCTCTGCCCTTAACTTTTGCTTCAGCCAGGTTGGCCATCTTCCTCTTTATAAAATATATTAACGTTAGCCTATAATCCAAGCACTTTGAGATGCTGAGGTAGGAGGACAGCAAGTTAGAGCAACTTAGCAATTTAGGGAGGCCTTGTCTCAAAATAAAAAATGAAAAAGGGCTGAGGATGGAGCTCAGTCCTGGGTTTAATCCCTGCTACTGCAAAAAACAAATAAATGATTTCCTACTTGGCTTGTGTTTGTCCGACTGTTCCTTGTTATGATTTTCCACCTGAATTTCCCATGGTTGGTTCCTTCTCTCACTTAAGTAATTGAGCAAATATCCTGTCTGCCTTGACCACCAAATCTGAAGTCCTCCTGTGCCCCTATGTCTGGCACATGGCCCCGTGTCTTGGCCTTCACATCCCTTCCCCTGAAGTCCTTTCTCATTTATTTCTTCATTTGTTTCATTGCCTATCAGTCCTCTACCACAACAGAATGTGAACACCACTAGAACAGGGGATGAGCCTTCTTCTCTTCACTCCCCACATCCAGAGCATGTCTATAAATAGCCCTTGGAAATATTTCTAGAATAAATGACAATAAACTCAGTAATTAACTAATTATACATCACATCAAGGGACTGATGTACATACAGCTCCCAAGGCTGGTCTTCCGGAAATGAGCCCATCTCCGCCAGGCCATGGTTCTCCCTGGTGACAGACCTGCATCCTTTACAACTTATCAGAGACCCTTCCTCTGTTTTTGCTACACATCATTTCCAAGGCGTAGATGAGTCATTCTGTGCTTTAAAAACTTACGTGCCAAAAGATTTAAGTGATGTTATGCACAATAAATCAGTGCATAAATCAGGACATAAGATAACAGCACCTGAAACTCTTTCCTTATTTGCACAAGGACTTAATCATTTCTTTAAACAACCTCCTCCTTAAACTGGAAGAGTAATACTTCCCTCCATCCACATTGGGTGGGGAATGCCACCACAACTTGGGCAGAGGAAGAGTCTGCACCTGAAATCCAGCTAACAAGGCTGTAGTGTCAGAGGACGGACCTAGGGTCACCAGAGTCCCGGCCCCTGCTTTCTTCCCCAGCATGGAGAGGCTCTGGGAACCCTCTCAGGTCCCCTGGACCCGCCCACCCACTGCCCCCAAGGCAGGGCGCCAAGAAAGTCTGCACTTCTGAGACCTCGTCCCAGGACTCACGCGACTCCTGTCCCGCCGCTGCTGCCTCCTCCTCTGGAGGCCCCGCCTGCTTCGGGGTCCGAGCTAGGCTCCTCCAAGGCCGAGCGGCCGCGGCCCCCAGGCGTCGCTGGAGCCCCTTGGATGCGCTAGCGCGCGGGGAGGGGTTCATGGCAGCCGCAGCCCCGGACGTGGACCGACGCCAGGGCCAACGCGATCGCTGGAAGGGGCGGTGCGCCGGGCACCTCCGTCGGGGAGAACCCGCCTTCTGCTGTGGCACCACTAGGTCGGGCGGTTCGGTTCCACCTCCCCTGAAACATCCGGAGAAACCTACAAGACTTAATCAGTTCCAATCCACGTGCTAAGTCTTCCTACAGTTTTCAGAAGCACTGAGGTTCGATTTATAAACATTATTGGAGCTTCAATAGTAAACAATTTTCAAATGGATTTCCAGGTTTTTTTTGAATGAGTCTTAATTTGGTAATCTTGCAATCATTTTCTTTCCTATTCTTTTAAAAAATGAAATAATGCAGGAGCAAGTCAATTCTGACCACCAAATAAAAGGTAATTTGATTTTCATTTATTTTCTATTGTTATGAATATATGAATTGCTTTATTAGTATAAATTATATGGTTTCAATGTTCTTTTCAAACTTGTTTTTCCTTCAAATTATTGTGCACCAAATTTTAAACATTAAACTCAAAATAAAGTTTCTATCATGAAAAATACACATGTGGAAAAATGTTACTGTATTGAGAGCATTACCTATAACTTCAAACTTTCCGTTAAAAAAAATGAAATGGGCCTAGTGTTTACAATAGGGATATGATTAAAACAAAAGCAAATACAATGAATTAAATATTATACAGAAATAGCAGATTCTGTACTAATATTAAACATAAAATTGCATGTATATATTGTATGTTTACAACTAAAATTCTAAAAATCAGAAGACATACACACAAAAGAATAACAGAGGAAACAGTGCCAGAGTACAATCCACAGAAATCATATAGCTAACTACAGAAATATCTGAACTGTTGTTATCCAAGTAATTCACAGCACACAAATTGCTTAGTAATTCCAAGCCAAGCACTTGAATTTTGTTAAAAGTCTATCAAAGACAGGAGACAACAAACCATCATCTTACCCTACACAACCAATAGAAATGTGGTGATACTCCAGCAAACTGTCTGTGGTCTATTCCAGCAGACAACGCAAAAACCCAAAGGCAGTGCCTAGGTTGAACTTTCTTTCCTTAATTTCCCTAAGAGCTTGCGCTAGATGAAAAGCTAGGAAGTATACTGTGGATGCTATTTTCTTTTCTTTTCTTTTTTTACTCATTGAGTTTATTGGTAAAATTTAGGTATGCAGTATAGTACAGTTACATTCATCATTTGGATCTTGTACCTTTACATGACAGGTCTTGGTTCTCATTTTTTCCCCTTGTCCCTGCCCTCCCTTCACCCCCTCCTTCCCTCCCCTTTACAAACACTTCATTTCCATTTTTTCATTTTCTCCTATTTTTTTCTTTTCCCTTATTAGCTTTCCCCTACCCTTCCCACTTTCCCTATACCTTTAGCCCCTTTCTTCCTATTTCACATTGTATCATTAGGATCTTATGTACTGTTATAGTTTATTCACACCAGAGAAACTACTTGATATTTACACGTGTGACTTATTTATTTCACTTAGGAATATATCCTCAATATGTAACCATTTTCCTATGAATGAATCTAATTTCTCATTCTTTATGGCTGAGAATGCTATTTTCTTGTTTCCCAGTTTCAAATAGCAAGTTAGTTCTTGACCAAATTCAAAGGATGCTAATAATACATAAGAGATGCTGCCCTCTGAGATCTGCACCTATTCATCTCTCTGACCTCGAGCCCTGCAACTCTTCCTCATTCTCATACCCCTCCAGTGTCCTGCTACAGGCCCTTTAGGTTTCCGTTCCTCACTGCCTGGAATCCTCTCACCCCGACCCCTGTTTCTCATCTTTAAGGCCTCAGATTAAATGTCACTGCCTCAAGAGACTTCACAGATCAAAAAATATTCCAAACAGTCTCCCCTGCCAATACTTTCCATTCTTTTATGCTGTTCTTTCTCTCTGGTGAGCACTTGACACTGAAATGACAGCCCATATCTGTTTAGCATCTACCTCCCCACATAGAAGACAGAACACAGGGATTTTTGCAAGATTGTCCCCTCCTGCCTCTCCAGTACCCAGACTCGTTCCAGACCTGGGATCAGCATCTAACTAATATAGAATATAGTTCAGCCAGGTGACTAGTAACCTGTCTGCCAGCCCTAATCTTTAGTTTCTAGGAAGTGTGTTCAAACATTAAGTCCCATCCTTGTTCAAGGATTCCTTGTTATGTATTAAAAATACATGTCTGGATTTTTTTTTTATTCCAAGTTTCAAAGATTTGACAGGTTCTGTAGATTATGTTTCACCTGTAGGTAGTCTTTTAAACCGCACTATGTTCTGCCGGGCAGGACTGGGCATCGTTCACTGGGTTAAGGTTGAGTCCATGTTGAGGCATGTCTCAGTGGCATGATATGGTGGGATTATGAAATGAGCAACCTGCTGTTGTACACTGAGTGTTAATCCTACTGTGTGTGGGTGACAGAAGAGATGTTCCATTCTTTTACAAGCTGGGAAGTGATGGCAGAGCTAACTGGTAGAAGGTGAGGCTGGCATTGTAAGCCAGTACTGAAACTCTTTTATTGATATGAGTGAATGAACAATCTGGTTTAGTACACTTTGCATCATATTTACCATTTGGATGAACAAACGAACATTTTCAGCACATTTATAATTAAGGAAAAGAGGGCTTTACACATGAAATGGGATGATGGTATACACACTTGTCTCCATTTTTACAAGCAGGCTGATATGTGCTGTGCTCCAAAAGCTTTTCTGGTTTCTGTTCCACAGTCAGCTCACTCATCTCTGCAGGACTGAGCTGCAGTGTTTCTGCCATTCTTGGGTCAATCTGCAGTAAGAATGACAATAGCCTCTGTTGAGTTCCTTGATTTTTTTTTTCCTGTATTATTTCCTTTTGTTTCCTCTTCTTTACTAGGGTCATTAACTCTGATGATCCTGCTTTGCACCTGGACCACTTCTGCTAGCAATTCTTGAAATGTTCGAGTTCTGGGAGCAACCAGAAGTGCTTGTTTCTGTGGGGCTTCAGAATAGTTGATTGTTTTGTTACACATTCATGAGCTACAGATGTAGCCTTCAAAATAAGATTCTTGTTAGCATGTTGAGAAGATGGAAGAGAAGGTCTCCTTTCAGGTTTGCTGGCACTGACAAGCTGCTGGACATACTTCCTATCTGGGAGCTATAATCACCATCTTCCTCCTCCTCTTCTCCATCATGATTAATTTTTGTTTGTTTTTTTTTACTTTAAATAACAGAACTTACCACAGGCAACTTTTTCTTTCAAAAATTTCTTTCTCAATACTCATTTTTTTTCTGAAGAAGGGACTGTAACTCTCTTCTAAGGTGTTAAGCACTTCTGGCTCACATAAATGTCCTGTTTCATACACCCGACTGTTCTGTATATCCATCCAGTTACTTGGCAGCATGAATACTATTTTGCTGCTGCTGCTGCAATTGCAAACTGTTTAGATGAGCACCACTCTCTGCATTGTGACTTGCAAGTCGTCAAAAAATTTCAATAGAAGGACAAAAAGAACTATATGTAAGTGTCACTGTGGGTGTTTTGTGAGATAAGGGATTCTCCTGCACATAATTGAGCTCTCCATCAGTGAGATCATCTGGTTTAGGCTTAATATCAATCACATCTTCAAAGGGCGCTGGCTCCCTCAGAGGTCTCACTATAGCCATGAGTTGGATCACAGCTCCATCATCATAAGTCTGTCTCCTCATATTTTTTTTCTTCTCTTGTGAAGTTGTAGAAACTCTGGAATCTCTTTTTCAAGTCTAGTGCTAGAAATAGTGAGGGCAGGATGGTAGCTTTGTGCCTTCTCTCCTGTCCCTGCCTGAAACTGCTCTTGTTTGAAGGCATATTATTATTATCATCAAAGATGTTGATATCAGAAGACTTTGGACTAGAGGGTTCAATTATAGCAAAGTGAAGTTTATCCAATACACCATTAAGCAATATGGTGAACTGAATTGTATTGTTGTCGTGTGTAGCTAGGATTCAGCACTAATTTGACAGGGAAACCCAAGTAACTATGACTTAAACATGGTACTTCTGAAAGTCTGGAAGTGTGCAGGTCTGTGCAGGTGATGCTTCTGTTCTACAAGGTCCTCAGAAACCAGCCCCTCCAGCCCACTACTCCACCATCCTGAGGTGCAACACCCAGCTCTGGTGTAAGACAGGTACCTGCCCCTGGCAGCAGGATGGAGAAAAGAAACAGGAAGGGCAAAGAAGAATGTCACAGCTATAGAAAAATTCTCAAAAGCACCACATACAAAACTTCCTTTGATATCCCACTGGCTAACATTCAGTCACATGTCTGTACTTGCTTGCTAGTTGCAAGAGTAAGAAATGTACCATATTTCATCAATTCTGAAATACACAGCTTTCACATTTCAACATCTTGAAAGCATGTACACTCATTTGCTTCTGCTAGTCACAAAGGACAGTACCAAGCTAGACCACTTTAGCTAAAGCTTCTATTTGAGTTTTTTTGTTTGTCCGTACATGCACTGTATGGATTCAGACTATAAACCCACCTGTGTACAGGTTTGTGGTTAACATTCTCAGCTGATGATTCTCCTTCCAACCAGAGCTAAGGTTGTGCATGAAAGTTGTTTTGCTGCTTCTTTCTTGGGGGATTACTTTCTCCTTTATCTTTGCTCTAGGGTTTAAATTTTGGTAATCCATATTTATACTGTGGTAACCTGCTAGACTCACCATCTTGGGTATTCTTTCTTACTTGGTGGTTTTTTGTTTGTTTGTTTTATCACTACAAGCCTTTATTGTAGGGACAATCTGCCAGCCTGTCTCCAGACAAAGGAGAGAGAGCAATATGGCCAAGACAGGGACTGCTTCTTCCATGACTGGGGTGGGATTGAGTGATGTAGTGGCTAGGGATTGGGAGAACTATGACCTCATTAAGAGGGGTTTCTCTCTTGGTGGGAAGAGGCACGATGGGAAGAAGAAGGTTGTCCTTTAGTGGGAGAAGCCATATTTTTAGGTAAGAATTGGGGCATTATGGGAAGGCTATTCTTTTTATGTAGTGGCCATCTTAAGGCAAGGGAAATCTAACATACCAAGCTTTTGTTTTATGGTTATTGGGCCAAGGTTTCTTCTTCTGGAGCTGCTTCAAGCTGACAAAGGGGCAAAGGTTGGAGCTAAT